ATAATCTCCTATAGCCTCTGTAGGAAAGTTGGCTGAATGGTTGAGAAGAGAATTCCATGTGATTTCTGTTCACACTGGAGATGGATGTGATTGCTAATGGATGTCACATAATTCTCATTTCTTTTGGTATTCTTACCAACTCAAAGAGAGTTAGTGCTCTCTATGTGTCTTATGTTAGCAAAGTACTGAATACATAGAGGACGTCTATACAACAAATAGTGATTCAAGAGTGGGGATTTCTGAAGTATCATTTTGGTTATTTTAAAATATAATGAAAAAGTATAAACAAATATATTGTTTTAACCTTTACAATAGTAAAGATTCACGTAACAACAACTCATATTAAGAATTAGAGCTAGAAGAATTACTTTTGCCCCATCCCAGTCACATCCCCTTTTTCCACATCCTCTTTGTTAAACTAGATCATCTGTACTTGATTTTAATGATGAATATTCTTGTATTTTTATTTAGTTTTACAGTTTTACTGTGTAAATTAATTACCTCATAAACTAAACTATTGTTTAGTGTTGTCTGATTTTGAACTTTATATAAGGCAGTCATACTGTGCACATTCATTGTGGAGTAAAAGCTCCCCACTGTGTTTGTGACATTCATTCATAAAAGTATGTGTAGCTCTGGTTTAGTCCTCTCCATTGCTAGTTAGTATACTATTCTGTGACTATGCCACAATTTATTTGTTAATTCTACTGGTGGATTTTTGCTTTTGTCAGCAATGTTTTATTATTGTGAACAATGTTGCTTTAGAGGTATAAGAATTTCTCTGTTGGGATATATAGCTTTAAATGGAAATCAGTAGGTTGTAGGGTCACTGAAGGTATGTAATTATAAACACTCATTTATGTCTTTGCTGTTGTTGTTTGTTTTAAGTACTCAAAAAAATCCAATACAGTTGCATGTTGTGGGGACAGAATTATTGATAAGCTTATTAGTACTACTGTCTCATTCTTCAGTCCTCACCCTCTCACCAGGTACATGTATACGCATACACAGACACATGCACATATCCCCAGAACAGTGTTAGGAATAGAAGTTAGAATAAGTGTTATAATTTAGATTATTTTTACAGTCACCTTTTTATTTTCTTTCTAGTAACATAAGGAGTTTGCTCAGAAATTACCTTATAAACAGTTAAAGATCAGTTTATTTTTAACTTGATTCCTTTTTTATTTATATCAATGAATAATTCTGTAGTTCAGAATATCCTTCCATCTATCTTACCCAACTTAATGTATTCTAATGGTTAAAATAATTTCTGAAAGCTTTTATTGCAAGTGTAATTGACATATGAGAAACTACACATAGAGACCACATCAAGATAAAAAGCTTCTGCACAGCAAAGAAAACAGTTAACAGACTGAAGAGACAATTCACAAAATGGGACAAAATATTTGTAGATTATCCAACTGACAGGAGGTTAATAACCAGAATATAGAAGGAGCTCCAACAACTTTATAAGAAAAATATCTAATAATCTGATTTTGAAATGGACAAAAGTTCTGAATAGGCACTGTTCAAAAGAATTCAAACAAATGGCAAACAGGTATATGAGAGGTGCTCAATATCATTGATCATCAGAGAAATGCAAATCAAAACTACAATGAGATATCTCACCCCAGATAAAATGGCTTTTATCCAACTGATGGGCAATATCAAATGCTGGTGAGGATATGGAGAAAACAGAATCCTTGTATGTTGTTGTTGGTGATGTAAATTAGTACAGCTTCCATGGAGAACAATTTGGAGGCTCCTAAAAAGAATTAAAAATAGAGCTGCCATGCCATCTAGCAATCCCACTGCTAGGTATATATCCAAAAGAAAGAAAATCAGTATATTGAACAGATATCCGCACTCCTATGTTTACCGCAGCATTCTTCACAATAGCCAAGATTTGGAAGCAACGTAAGTGTTCATCAGCATGGACATTTCATGAATGGATAAAGAAAATGTGATACATACACTCATAAAGAATGAGATTCTGTTATTTGCAACAACATAGATGGCATCAGAAATCATTGTATTAAGCCAGGCACAGCAAGACAAATTTTTAAGTTCTCAGTTATTTGTGAGAGCTAAAAATTAAAATAATTGAACTCATGGAGATAGGGAGTAGAATGATGGTTAGCAGAGTCTGGGAAGGATAGTCGAGGGGGAAGTGGGGATGGTTAATGGGTACAACACAATAGAAAGAATGAGTAAGATCTATTTAATAACACAGCAGGGTGACTCTACTCAATAATAATTTAATTAAATGTTGAAAAGTACCTTTAAAAGTATAATTGGGTTGTTTATAACACAAAGGATAAATGCTTGAGGTGATAGGTACCACATTTACCCTGATGTGGTTATTATACATTGTATGCCTACATCAGAGTGTCTCATGTATTCCATAGATATATACCCCTCTATGTATCCACAGAAATTAAAAATTAAAAAATAAAAACTGCATCTATTTAAAGTATTTAGCTTGATAAGTTTCGCCATGCATATACACCCATGGAACCAAGATAACGAACATTCATAATCCCAGTAGTTTCCTGGTGTCCCTTTGTAATCCTGCTTCTCAATATTATAGATCTTCTGTCACTATAGATAGAAAATTTGCTAGAATTCCATATGAATGTGATTATACTTTAGGTACTCTTTTTGGTCTAGCTTTTCTCACAGCATAATTATTTTTAGATTCATCTATGTTCTTTTTAAATTACTGAGTAATATTTTAATGTATGGCTATGCACCATTTATTTATCTGTTGATGCCATTTTTGTTTGTTTCTGCTGTTTTATCAGTTGCAAAAAATATGCTATGCATATTTGTGTACAAGTCTTTGTATGAACATATGCATTCATTTCTCTTAGGTAAGTACCTAGGAATGAGAATGATAGGTTGTATTACATGTTTATGTTTAACTCTTAAGAAACTTCCAGTTTTCCAAGGTGCTATACCATTTTACATTTCCACCAGCAGTGGTCAGAGCTTCAGTTGCTCTACATCCTTGCCAAAATTTGTTATACATAGTCAGTCTTTTTAATTTAGCCTTCTTATTGTGATATAGTGGTATCTTGTTTTAATTAGCATTTCCCTAATGATTAATGATGCCGAGCATCTTTTCTTGTGCTTATTTGCCATCTCTGTGTAATCCTTGGTGAAGTGTCTGTACATATCTTTTGCTGATTTGTATTGGTTTATTTTATTTTTTAATTGTAAGAGTTCTTTATATATTCTAAATACAAGTCCTTTGCAGAATATGTTTTGCAGGTGTTTTCCCTTAGTTCATGACTAGCCTTTTTATTTTCTTAAGAGTGTCTTTTAAAGAACAAACTTTTTAAAATTTGAATGAAGTTCTGAAAGTTTTAGCAGAGTCTAGAGAATTAGAACCAACAACAAAAACAACAAATTCTCACTTTGCCCTGGATGGTATGGAATTTTGCCCGATTATTCACTGGTTACCACCACAAATCTAGTACTTACCATTGCATTTCTCTACTTCTGTGCAATTATTCTTGAACTGTAACTAGTTTAATATTTTGTTTAAACAAATTTGACTTATACAAGGTCCTGTAGTTATAAAGATGAGTAATATATGGTATTTCTCTTCAAAGTCCTCACTTTTAGTATTTAATGTTTCTTCCTGTCGTCAATCTTGTACAGCCAGGTTTATATACTTTCCTTTGTTCATTGCCTAGCTTAGCTCTAGAGACAATGTAATACTCAATATATTTTTGTTGTGTACTATAATTATACTTTTTTGACACACAAATCTGTGAGTTTATGGTAGCAGGAAATCTCTTGTTCTTTGTATCCCCAAAGATCATAACATAGTTCCTTGCACACAAGGGACACTAAATATTCAATGACTGAATGAATTGATGGTTTTAAAATAAGGTTTGCCTGTATTATCAATTGATAATACAATTGATTGGCCGTATCTGCAGGTTCCTCATTCACAGAATCAACCAACTGCAATCAAAAATATTCAGAAAAAAACAATTTAAAAATACATTGATAAAGAATAATATACAACTTAAAACAACACAACTGTTTACATAGGATTGACATTAAGTGTTATATAAGTAACCTACAGATGATTTAAAGTGTATAGGAGGATATAAATAGATTATATACAAATAACATGCAATTTTATACAAGGGACTTAAACACCATGGATTTTGGTATCCTCAGGTGGCTCCTGGAACCATCTGGGTGTCAAGGGACAGCTGAATAACCTTTGGCTATACTGAACTAAATGAATAAAAAGTATTCTCAGATGTGATTATTGCAATAGATAGTTTTTCTAGATAAAACAAAGATACCTGATTTTTACTTGAATATTTTTGAGTATGGTAATCATTTTTTATGACCCAAATTTAACATTATTATTATCATAGAAGTCTGTCTATGGTAATATAGAATGGAATCTGTAGTCAGCTGCAGATAAGAGGCTTTCACAAAGTTTGTTTGCCTTCATCTGTTTTGTGCTGCTATAACAGAATACCAAAGACTGGGTAATATATAAATAATAGAAATTTATTTGGTTCACTGTTCTAGAGACTGGAAAGTCTGATGTCAGAGGGCTCACATCTGGTGATGGCCTTCATGTTGTATCATCTCGTGTTGGAAGGCAGAAAGTCAAGAGAGGGCAACAGTGAGAGGGGGCCAAACTTACATTTCTAATCAACCCACCCTTGAGATAACAAGCCTGCCTTCACTATAATGACATGAGTCCATTCACAAGGGTACAGCCATTACCTAATTACCACTTAAACATCCTACCTCTCAGCACTGTTGAATTGGGTATTAAGATTTCAACACATGAGCTTTGGGGAAACATGTTCAAATCATGGCACTGCTCTTTTTAATTAGTTACATATTTTATTTCACCTGGGAAGTCCTTTTTTTCAGTGAAATCAATGCCATAAAACATAGAGACTAATTTGTAAATGTGTAGGATATGATGACAGTAACTTGCTTTCTTTATCTAGGTCCTGGGAACTCCAACAAGGGAGCAAATCAGAGAAATGAACCCAAACTACACAGAATTTAAATTCCCTCAAATTAAGGCACATCCTTGGACTAAGGTGAGTCAGTTTTTTTTTTAAAGCATACTAACCAACAGTTACCTAAAACAGGTTTCTTACTGTTCTTAAACTAAACTATTTTGAGACCAGATCGTTGCATTGAATACAAGCAGTTTTGCATGTAAAGATAGTTGTATAGATGTACTTGAGTGTTTCATTGACTTTTTATAGTTTCACTATCACTGATTTCCTGTAGATAGTTTCCAGCCTAGGTTTTTATTTGCAAGGTAAGGACAGTATACTTATGTCATTAAAGTACAGAATTTGATTTTCGAGTAGGATTTCATGTAAAATTTTGACAAGCTAAAATTCAGAAGTTTATTTACATAGAGGTGTATGGTTTAATAATATATAGCATATGATACATTTCAAACATTTTCTTTATTCTTTTAAACTGTTAAAACAGACCTTATTATAGATGGCATTGTGTGTTTTTCTTCTCTTGTTTACTTTCCTACTGGCATTTTGGAAACAGGGTTAAAAGGCAGGTGTAATCTTGCTGGGAGTATACATTAAAAACAATTGGTATGTTAACTGGATGTCACTAGCCTTTGAAAAAACCTAACCTTAACATTAGATGGACCAGTTCTAAAGAGCACAATTGCTAATGTACCAGGGAACTTTTTTTTTGCTTTGGTAATTAATTGGAATGACTTAAGAGAGTTTATTAAAAAGTGTTTTCACCTCAGTTTGATTTGTGAGATTAAGTATGCAGAGAAAAAAATAGAATTTCTCCCTAGGGTTTATAAGTAGAGTGAACCTCTGGCTTCCTCATTTTACAAGTTCAAAAACTCTGACCAAAGATTCAAAGTGACTTACCCAAGATTACATGGATGGCTTGTGACAAAGCCAGGATTAAAATTCTGTTTGCACGTGTGTGTGAGTGTCATGGGTTACAGATGATCAACTTTTTAATATGTATTTCAAAGACAGACTGTCTATATTTTAAAATGTACATATAACAATTCATTTTATACTGTTAAGTTCATTTAGTTGGTTATGATATAATGAGAGGTGAAATAATTTAGGGCTACAGGTGAAATAATTTAAACTCAGAAAAACCAAGTTTGTTTCTTTCTCTCTTTTATTATGATTCCAGTTATGTTTTCTTCAAATTCTCATAATCTCATTATCTTCAGAAAATTCTCTTGTTACTAATTATTTATTTCCTATTTAGAATCAAAGACCTCAATAGTATTTTAGTGCCAGAATTATAGGTTGTAGCGTTTACTACAGACTGGCCAACAGATCACAAAACCTCTCCTTTTAAACGTTTCTGGTAAGCACTAAATAGTCTGAGATTCTAAAGTGTTCTTTGATCTTTGTATTCAAGGCTTATTTTCAATCTGAGTCAGAAGATACTTAGGGACTCTCACCTGGCTCTAAACCCAGAAAATCTCAGGTGGCCTATTTGGATTTAGGGGCTGCATTACAGTGTCAGTCCACTATAGTTATTGCAAGTTAAATTGTTTATAATAAGTGATTTGTAGTATACTATGACTTCAGCCATGTTAAGGGAAAAACAACAAAGAGAATTCCGTTTTTTGAATAAATATAGGGAAATATTCTAAAATGCCAACAGTAGTTTGGGTAAGAAGAAAGTGCACAATTTTATTTTATTTGTTCTACCTTTTCAGACTTTCATATTTTCTTTAATAATGATGTTATTTTTATGAGGAAAAGGAAAAAATTTTTTGGTGTAATCTAAGTATTCATTACATTTATCCTCTATATAGAGTTTCTAACAAATATTATGCTGAAATTGAATTAATGACATTCTATTTTAACATTCACCATCCTCCATTATTATTATTATTGTTATTATTATTATTATTATTATTATTATTATTTTATCAAGACTGCCACTAATCCTCCTTTATCTAAGGTTTCGGTTATGCTTGGTCAACCTCTGTCTGAAATAGGTGATATAGTACAATAAGATATTTTGAAAGAGATACTACATTCACATAATTTTATTATAATTCTCTTTTATTGTTATTGTTGTTAACCTCTTATTGTGCCTAATTTATAAAGTAAGTTTTTTTCATTACTATGTATGTATAGAGAAAAACAATATATGTAGGGTTTATTACTACTATGTAGGGTTTATTACTACCTGCAGTTTCAGCATCCACATGAGGGTCTCAGGGACTTATCCCCTATAGGTAAAAGGGAAGGGGCACTGTATTTAATGTGTGTCAAATTCTGCATTTTCCCCCTAAATTATATATCTTTAACGCAAGTATTATCTTGAGTAGAATGTGAGCAGTGGTTGATTATAATTAAAATGCAGCCAACAGAAGAGCTGTAGTAAATTTGTATGCTTTAAACCTTCCGTTGCCCTGTTGAATTCTTGATGTTTCCTTATCTTATACTAATTCTTTCCAAACTTGAATCGTCTGTGTAAAGGCCTTTTATTTAGGTTTCCATTCCTGTACCATGTGTAGAATGATGACTCAGTTCTCCCTTCTTTTTTGTTTATTAAAAGGACTATGAACCTTTCATTCATCTAGTGTCTTTTGACATGATTTGGTTTTCACTTCATGCACATGCATTATGTAATAAGTACACTTATGTTGGTTTCTCATTTGTGTACTCTAGAGTGGCATTTCTGGGATTGTAAACAAAAAAAGTAAATTTGGTTGCAGAAATTTTATTGGTCTTCTCTGTCATCTAGATGATTGAGAGTATGCTTGTGTTTATTTTTTTAAATAGGTTATTATAAGAATTAAAATACAAAACTTAAAATTCCTAGAGGGAACTCAGCCTCCTTTCCCTACCACTGTGATAGCGAACAGCAACTTCAGAAGTGCTCTTAGGCTAAGCAGCCAGTTGAGTCATTTAAAAACTATATAGAACATCCTCCAAAGAGAAGAGCATTTTGCCTTTGGAGGGCAGGTAAACAGGAGTCTGGAAAAAAGAAGTGCTTTACCTTTATTGCTGTCTTCTGTTAGTCCCATTCCCTGAAGCTGTGGACATGTGAACCCTGGTTTCCTGTGCTGCAGTGTTGTGCAGCTATATCCCCAAAGTTGGGACCTGGTGTTCTAAAAAAGAAAAAAAAAACCAGACAAATAAACATCAAAAGAGAAAATGTCTTTTGTGAAAACATTGTGGTAAGGGGATACAGGTGTATAGAAGAAATAGCAGAAAAATAACACTGAGAAGATCCCAGTATGGTGTAGGGCAGAAGTCTTGAGAATTAAAAAAATCCAGTAAGTTGCCCATAGCTATTACATTATAGCAATAGCCAGTGCAACATAATTCATTAATAAAACACCTGTGGCTTAAGTAGGAAAGGAACTAGGTGATAATATTTTAAAACAAGAATTATTATTGGAGTTGAGGGGTTGAAGACCTATGCCTTGGTATATACTGTACACTGCAAAGAAGAAAAACACATGGAAACAAAAGGAAGTAATGCAAAAGTAGGTTGAGAATTAAGTAGAGACAGATTGATTGGAAGAAGAGAGGAAATTTAAATTCTGCATTTAGTATGTGGAGTTGTGGTTAAATGATGGGCTATTATATACAGAGCGAGAATCTAGTTTAAACACTGCTTCTCATGTTTATGCCTCAGCTCTTTTTCTTTTGTAAGATAGTGATTACCTGCTCTTTTTCAGGATTATTTTGAAAATACAGCCATAATTTACATATAAAGGATTACTTTAGTTCTGAATAAATATTAAGGATGTAGAACTCTAATGTAGTTTTCTGATTTGTCTTCTCTGTCTCCACTGCCCTGACCTTAGTTTAGGCCACCATCATATAATAGAATTATAAAAAACAACCTCCTACCTCCATCCTTCGGTTTCACATCATTTTAATCCATCCTCCTCATTTCTGTCAAACTTGGCTTTTTTAAAAACACGCATGATGCTGTCACTCCTATTTAAAATTCTTCTCTGATTCCTCATAGCCTTTAGGAAAATTTAGCATTTTATATATATAATAACAAGGGTGAACCAATGTGCCAATTTATGCTTATCCACTGTAATTATTAATTGCTTGCTTTTCACTCCTAGGGGGGTCCCAATTTGGGTGGCAGATTATTTAGTCACTCTGTTCCTTGATCTTTCTGCCTTTCTTTCCCAGAAAAATAGTTAGTATTTATCCTGTTCCTAACCTTTCTTGAGGTATCTAGTTCTTGAACCCAGTCTCTTTCCCAAGTTTTACACCTTCCTGTATCCTTAAATGCATGTTGTTAGGCATTGGATTTAAAAGTTTAGTGTCTAGTTAGGATTGATTCTGGATTTTTAATAAAGTTATATTTTTAATAGGTATATGAGTTGCCTCCCCGCCCACTTTCGAGTGCCTGGTTCTGCTACTCTTTTGTTTAAATTTCTTTGTGACAAGCATTTCTCCTGTATCCTAGTAATAAATAATCCTGTGAGGTCAGTTAGGTAACGCAGATGTCTGTTTTATTCTTTCAGAGCAGTGAAAGTCATAAGTGATATAACTGGTTAGTAGAAAGAAGTAGATTACAATCCCAAGGCCCTTGATCTCTTAATAGTTACATTAGTGCTACTTAATATATTGGCTATATATTGGAGTGTTTGTCCAGTGTGCAGCTCACTTTGAAGGGACCATGCAGCCATGCTGGATTTTCTGGTTTAGTCAAATTGTCTCCTGGTTGTTCCCCAGAGAAGCCACATTCATTTCTGCCTTACGCTAGTGTTTCTCTTCCCTGTCTCTGCTCCCCCTCGCACTCTCTTAGAATGTTCTTTTCTGCTTACCAAGTCTTAACCTTTCTTAAGATCTCAAATTTCACTTCTCCCACGAAATGTTTTCTCATTGTCTAAGTTCTTCATGACTGTCCCACCATGTAACTCCTATAGTACCTACCAAATTATACCATATATATAAAAGAGCAATTCCTAATTTCTTTTTTATAATAATATTAATATGAATATCAATGATTTCAAAATATTTGTTGCCAAGTTGTTGGCATATATGGTAGTTTAATGCTTAAGTGTCTGTAGCTTTTGTATGACCATAAGTCATTCGGTAAGTCTCCCAGAAAGTGTTATTCACAAAAATTAACTCTTGCATACTTGATTTCCTGAAACACTGTCAACATGCTTCAGATGAGTCAATACTAGTATTTCTAACTGGCTAACAGAGTAAGCAGAAAATTGAATTCTCAGGTCATTTCAGCTTTCAAAGGAATTATTTTCGACTGAACAAGTTACTTATTCTCTATACTTACAGCTGAACAAAAAAGCCCCACTATACTTATTTCTTTTTAAGACTTGTCCATAATGTTACATTTTTTCTTTCTTTCTTTTCTTAAAGATGGGGTTTCACTATGTTGGTCAGGGTGGTCTTGAACTCCCGACCTCAGGTGATCCGTCCACCTTGGCCTCCAAAGTGCTTGGATTACAGGTGTGAGCTACCACACCCGGCCTAATGTTACATTTTTTACCTGAGCCATTCAATAGATTTTTCAGAACTTAGTAAACCTACCTATTTTAACCATTGTTCAATATATTACTTAAAATGCCTTCATAGAGGCCTAGAGAGCACAAAACAAAAATAGCTGCCAAAGTTTTCTTGCACATCCATTCTATCTACCTTTTCTGGTCTCTGCCTTACTCCTTTCATTCACATATATTCCAGAAAGTATAAAACCATGTTGGGGATTTCTGTTGGCTCCTAAGGTTGCTACTTGTCTATTTTGTTCTATTGCTTATGGTAAATCAATTTTTATATTATTATTCAACCCCACTCTGCCCTGAACATTCTACCTAGACCATTCTCACTTGTCTCATGAATACATACAGTAGGTTTTCTACTAAAATTTCTACCCACATCCTTACTATTGTTAGAATAATCACTTGTCCTTTTCTAATATCCATTTTCCTGTGTTAATAGCCTTCCTTTTTTATTTCTACTGGCTATATATTTCTGTTTCTTTGCTGGAAACCACATTAAAATCCATCTTTTAGGATGGCTAATCCACATGTGAGAGGAATAATGTCAAAAAGGAAGAATACTAAGACATAATTTTCAGATTGCTTGTGGGAGGCAAAGGATGAGGTTAGGGGTAGATTTGAAAAGAAGGCAAAATTCTATTTTTTATTTGTTCTGTAAATCTTGTGTCTTCTATGTAACCAGTGCTGTGCTGGGTACCATAAGGATGCAAAAGAAGTAAAATATAGTCTTTGTCCTTGAAAAGCTAAAAGGTGAAAAGCTCAGTTGAAGCAAATATTGAATAATGTGAGACTCTATATAACCATATAGTTGATTCTGAGCTGTAAGTGTTAAGAGGTGTTCCACATGGCTGTAGGTGTTACAAAGCAGACTTCCAGTGAGGATGGTGGAGGAAAAACGGAAGCCTCCTCAAAGATAATAGATGAGGTGGGATGTTGAAGGGGAGGTTTAAGATTTGCTTAGGTGTAGAAAAGGTTAGGAATTGTTATAGCTGGGGTGAATGTCTCCCAAGGTGGGGAGAGGTGGATGAAAAGAAAATATTTCTGTATTCTTACGAGAGCCAGCCTGACTATAATAACTGTTTTGTGAACAATGAAAGATTAAATTGAATAAGCGGGCATTTGGCAAATTACACTGCTGTGTAGGCATGTAGTACTATTTCATCATTGCATGATGTGAGGGAGGGAAATTACATTACATAGTTAAATGCTGATATCTACATATATACAGCCAGTCATTTAAGATGGTTAGTAAGTTCTTAGAAACTGCAACTTTAAGTGAAATGATGTACAATAGGTCCTCAAATAAAAAAAATTGGTTCATTCAACGTTGATGAAGGAAGACATTTGCTTTTATTATACATTTCACTTAAAGTCACAGTTTTCAAGAACCTATCAATGACATTAAATGAAGACTTACTATATAACTTTTCTTATCTGTAGTAGAACTTGGGAAAATTCAATAAGGCTTTTAATTAGTACAACTGAAATTCACTGGCTGTTAGATCTGTCAGGGCTAAGGAAAGGATTATTTGTGTTTCTTATGCTCCACCTTCTTTACCTAAACTAGTATCTTAATGAAAAGGTTAGAAAAATATCTATGCACTAGGCTTGAGAATTCAAACTGAATTCAGTTTATGTATTCTACCCTGTTAGATTCTGCTTTCATAGGTAGCAGTTTTACTTGGCAGGAAGACTCTGAAAGTTTCAGTAGCCTCTGGTACTCATTTTTGATAGTACTTAAAGTGAATTGGATTACTTTGTATGTCAGTATATAATTAGATCAATGTATCAAAGCATGTGAAAGACCGCCAAACAATATTTTAAAAAATAGTGTGGACTAATTAGTTAAGTAATTATTGAATTATGTACTACATATGAGCAGTTAAGTAGACTTAATCTCTTTTCTTAGTTAATTAACGTAATTACCTATTCAATAGTCCATGGCATTGTCTCACTGTTAATCCTGTGTTTAGGTTTACAAATTGCAAATAATTTCAGATGATTAGTAGATTACTTGAGAGACAATATTGGGGTTGCTCTTTAGGAGTATTCATAGTTTATCAGTTTTTAAAATTGGATGCTTGTATTTTGTATATGACCAGAACATAGGATGTGTGTTGTGCATTTATTGTAATGAACACTAGTGAGGAATAGCTGTTTGGAACAGCCATAGCTCTTGTTCTGTGTTCTGTTAGATTAATTATCACTGCCAACAGCCATTTAAAATGGACATTTTTACATTGCTTTGATTGGCTACATAATACAATAGAGTTGCTAAGAGCTGATGCTGTGAGATGCATCTTAACCAGAGGTCTTGTTATGGTGTATGTGATTGTTTAAAAATGGCCTTTTTAAAGTGCTTAAGATTCAGTCACAACACCTAGCTCCAGGTTCAAATTTGAAGGCCAACGTCTATACTAGGGACAAATAGGGCAGAAATTGCCTCTGTCATTTTTGAGTTACCCAAATGCAAATTTATTTAGAATAATTCTTCATTTAAGGACTTCTTTGCATTTGTTCAATACTACAGAAACTTTCTTTTTGAAAAAATGTATTTTTTCTATTAGTTTCTTGTATGGACTAGTATTTGTGATGAGAGTTGATGTTTGTTTAATTTAAGAAAATGAGTTGCTGCATAGGTGAGGTAGTATTTGAATCACTTTAAAAGTTCATGTCAGTGTTTCGGTTCCTTTCAGTTTTTCCTTTCTCTTTCTTTTTTTCCTTCCTCTTTTTCTTTCTTTCTTTCTTTCTTTCTTTCTTTTTTTTTTTTTTTTTTTTTTTTTTTTTGCTTTTTTTTTTGTTTTGTTCTGTTTTATTTATTTATTTTTGGTTTTATTTTTTAAAGGGTGTTTTGGGATCTCTGTGGCCTTGCTGCATACTTTGCTGGCCATATTTAGTCTGCGTACTAATTGTTAGTTGGCCCAGTTGAGTCTTATTTTGTGCTCAGTTCTTTCAGTCTGGTTTTCTATTTTTGTCCACCTGGTTGTGTTTTAGTTCATGAGAGAATTTATTCTGATGGGCCAGATTTTAATCTGTTTACTAAATTTTAGTCTGCAGACTAAAAGTAATCCGCGGATTATTTATTTTTGCAAAATATTTAATTCCCCCACTGGAAACTATCCTAAAAGAATGTTAAATTCTCTTAGAATAGCCAGGGGAATTCACAGATACTGGTGAGTCCTGCCATTTTTTTTGTTCTCAATACCTAGACATAATAGACCCTACTACCTCCCTTGCATATTTGGCTCCGTTGTGCCTAGGTGTTGGTATACATTACTATACCTGTCACCTGTAACTGTGACTGTCCCTTAGTTGTATTGTTAATTGTATATATTTTTGTTTAGCTTTTGGTGGGTGAATTGGGCATATTTGCAGATGGAACTGTGTTTAATTTATAGTGCTTGAAGATGTAGGATTGATTTTTTTCAGAGAGTTTTTCCAAAGAGGAAAGAATGTTCTCTATTTATTTTTCCTAAGTAATGGGTGCAAGGGTATGAGCGGGCAAAGCCCACGATAAAAAAAGTAAGTTAATACCCGCACTCCTGAGGTGATATGTCAATTTCCTGATGAGTCCTAAGATAATGAGAATGTCAGCAAAGAAACATCTTTTAGCAGAGAAGTCAATCCAAAATGGAGAATAATCCGCGGTGGCCTGATCCTTCTTAGCTCACACAAATTGAAAGTATCTGGCTTGAAATCTGTAGTAATATAACTTAAATATATTTATTACTTTCCTCTCATCACTACTAATGTAGCAAAAAAATGTTTATACTGTGTAACTGAAACACATTAATAGAGAAAAAAGTAGCATATTGGGAACTTAAAAATTTAAAAGTAGGCTAATGTGCCCCCTCACAGTGATGTCTGTGGATGATGAATCCAGGTCGGAGAAGACCACTTTACTTTGGGAACTTTACTTCTAGATTTCATTTTGATTTTAACTTTTTTTGGTTTTGTATTTTTTTAATAAACGCACTGGCATTGGAACATAATAAACAAAAATTAAAATGTTTCTTTACTGTGCCTCACCATTGCACAATCAAAAAAAATTTTTTTGCATACACTGTGGTGAAATAATTTTTAAAACTTGGACTTGCTACTGTGGAGACTGATGTTTAAAGTTTATAACTGTATAAACATTTTCTATGTCCCCCCCACACCATGGATTTCTTATAACATTGGATATATTTTTCCTTGCTGGACTATTCTCTTTTGGATTGACTTCCCCTGTTTGGATTATTTCACTGCATTATCATCTTTAGGATTCGTCAGGAACAGGACATTTCACCTCAGGAGTACGGGTATGTACTTAATTTTTTTTTTTTTCCCAAAATTTCAGGGCAGGTCTATAAAACTTGGGGGAAACCTTTTTTGAAAGGCTAAACAATTATTCATTCTTGAAATGTAATAGTAAACGATGTAAGTAGCTGCGATTTCTGTTTTTATTCACTGTATGGCATAGGTTTTGCTTATAATATATTTAGATTGTCAGTCTCTTGGGTGATTCATAGACATCTAGGCTGAAGTTTGGGAATTGTGGGGGTTTAAAATTATTATTTCTATTGCAAGAATAAATATTGATGAAGATCCATGAAACCAAAGGTCTGTGTGTTAAGCAATGTCAATGAGTAAGGAAAGAAGTGACAGCAGAAGCTTCTTTAATTAAAAGACACATTTCAGTTCTTGGTGGTTTCCTTTTCTTTAGAAGCAGAAATAATTCAGATGAGCTAGTTTCTAGTTTTCCCTATAATTTTTAGAAGTTGTGTGCTAACTCACACTGTATTATGGTCAGAAATCTGAACTGTGGGAGATACTGGGTTTTGGCCCCACTTAATTTTCCACTTAACCTTTATTCACTGAGTACTGAACCAAGGCTTTTCTCATCAAGAATCTCTTAAGGGTTTAAAATAACAATGTATACTTTTTGCAAAGGCAGGTTAAATCTTGATTTTTATGTAGGCTCTTGGAATGTATTATTTTCTTTATAGTTTTTAACTCTTGAACTTCATGAGTTAAGATTCCCTGACAAATATATGCTAATAAATATTTTAGTACCAATATGGATGATCACTTGTAGCCAGTAAAACACCAAAATATATGGGTGACTTAAAAAAATATTGAAAATAAGCTTATAATACTGGTTTATTAATAGCTTTAACACAAAATCTTGGAAAATATAACATGAAAATTTTTTATTTAAAATAACTCACCATCCATCTATCCTACATTTGAAAGTTAGCGGGAGATACTTATTTCTTCCTTTGGTGCTACTTTTAATTCCACTTATGTGCTGCCATATTGGTGCAAAAACATTTTGGATTAGCTAGCAAAATAAATCTATATACCATCAAACAGAAGCAAACTTGCCCTCAGGGATAAAATATACCAATAATGTTTAATATTTTTATGAAAATTTTCTGGGTTCTCCCACTGATTATTTTCTTTTTACATTCTGTATTTGATTATGGACTTTGGGAGCAAGAGAGGGGACAAGAACAGTGGAAGAGCTAAACATTTCAATAACTCAAAGGTTTTCTTGACTGAGGCAAGTCAGAGTATTCAAAAGAATAAAGATAAGGCAGGTTTTGACCTTATAAAAAGGTTTTCTTTTTCACATATCCAAGAAATTGACTAAGACCTTAATGTTCTGAAATAAATTTCTAAGAGCCTACTTTACGTAATTTCTCAATTTTCATGGAAAATGTCTTTTTCAATAATAAACTAAAATAAAATCTTTTCACTGTAGACAATACTTATAGTCTCTGGAAAGTCTAATGAGCTCTGTGGTTGTAACTAGTTCTACTGACTGTCAGCATAAGTGAACAACCAGATGTTACATTAACCAATCTTACTAGAAAATCTTAGTCTCCCAGGCTGCTTCATGCCCTGTCACAATATGAATGGGCTTTTCTGACTTATAGGTCCATTTCCCTCCGTTTATACATGTCTACTTGTCTGTCCACCTCCATCATCACACCTTTTATTTGGTTGTGTGTTCTTCCTATCAAGGGATATATGTCTCATTTTTCTTTAGTTCAAAAGTTCCTCATCTGTTTATTTCTATTCCTTCCCTTTTTATTTTTATTTTGTAGCTGGTCATAATTTAGAATTAAGTATATTTCTATAGTTTTTTTATTGATTAGTTTTATTTTATTTAAGACACAAATGAGTAGAAAGCTATCTACTCCTTTAAGTAGATTAATTTAATTGAACTTTCCTTCAATATAGCCTTCAGTTGACTTTTTCCATGTCTCAATCATTCTTAATGGATAATATATTTTTCTCTCCTTGATTAAAACCTTGGAATATTTATTCAAATGAGGGAAATCTGGCCACATCGATGGTAATAGCTACTTGAGAAAAAAATATAGGACATTTTATCAAATTCTAGTTTTTCAAGAATTTCTTCAAATAATGATAGGCTCTGTTTATTGGAGATAATCAAATCAGTAGCATTTGTAGACCTAGAGTAAATAGCTCTTCTTTCTTTTAAGATATTGATTGCCAAATTTTTCAACAATGCTGCCCATCATTGACAGTTGTTCTGCTAAAAAAAAAAAAATGCAAAAGAGGCAAACTTTTATTTACTGCCATAGCAGTGAAAACTTTAAAATTTTAAAAATGTTTTTCTAGTTGTGCTTGCCTCCAGAATGTAGCCTTTCCCATGTGCCTGTCATATTTTGTATGCATGTCTGATTGTATTGCTTTATGGTTAGCATATATAGATTTTTTTCTCCGAGCATTTCTCATATAGTCTTAATCAGCAGTTCACCACTGTGAAGCATATGCACTTAACTCTTTCCATTCTAGAAGGTCTTTTCCCAAATGCAACCATGTTTCTGTACATGGTAGGAATTAAGTCATTACTCACAGGGTACTTGCCTAGATTCATATAACATTAATTATTCTTTCCCTTTTTTTGTACTGCAGGTCTTCCGACCTCGAACTCCACCAGAGGCGATTGCACTGTGTAGCCGTCTGCTGGAGTATACACCAACTGCCCGATTGACACCACTGGAAGCTTGTGCACATTCATTTTTTGATGAATTACGGGACCCAAATGTCAAACTACCAAATGGGCGAGACACACCTGCACTCTTCAACTTCACCACTCAAGGTAACTCCAAATACTTAGCTCTTTCACCATTTCTAGGAAAGCTACACACTGGGTGTGAAATGACATTCCATTAATTAAAATATGTGGAGGACAAAAATGGACATATTAAGTACTTATGAAGGTGAAAAGATTATTCTTTCTGATTTGCTGGCCACTACTTACATGGTTTTGAACAAAAGACTAGCACATAAAGAAGCTATGCCTATTGGAAAACTTTTAATTTTTAGCAGAATATAATGTTGGCACATGAGAAGTTACAGAGAATTCAGTGAGTGAAGTTTATCACTAATTGGATTGATGTACAATTTCATCTTTAAGTTTGGATCTGAAACTTAAAATAGTAGCATTTCTTGCTTCCGTAGAGTTTGGATCAATTTTTTAAACCTGGAAATGAATTGGTGGCTGTATTTGTATAAATTCAGTTGTCTTCCAAACAGGAGGAAAACTAGAATCCTATAAACCCTTTCTAAGAACTTACACAAACGATAGAGACAAGGAAGGAAATTTCCATCCCCTCTGAGACTTGGTACCATTGCTGCTGTTGAGAAAATATTGAAAAGAAAACTAACTCTGTGCATTGGTGGTTTCTGGGAGACCTTGGGGTATTCACTTTTTCTTAACCATTTCTGTGTTCAATTTTTCTTTTCTTCCTGATTAAGACCTAAGTGATTCATTCAGTCACCCTTCCTCTGATGACATGGCTTTTGTCCTATACTGAGCATAAGAAGTGTACAATTCATTATTTTAAAAAATCACAAGAAATAGTAATATGTTGATTGATAAGTAAGCATACTCAGGCTAGAAAACAAAAAAGGGAGATGTAGAGCTTTCTATCACCAAGAAAGAAATATATTTCCTTTATTCATATATAGCATATTTACAAGTCTTTAAAAAAAGAAAAAAGAATGAAGACTGTTTTATTTTTGTATTTAAAAATATTATGTTTGCCCAGCACATTAGATATAAATGTGATGTATGTCTTTAACATTTATGTTTTTGAGGGTTTAGAGATTCATTTATATTGGGATGTAATGCGTATAGACACAGTGTGCAGTCTCTGTGATTATCAGAGTGCTTATGTGATTCTGTGAGTATCAGTGAAAAAGTGGACCCTGTAAACACAGTCATGTATTGTTTAATGATGCAGATATATTCTGAGAAATGTATCATTAGGCAATTTTTGTCCTTGTGCAGACGTCATAGAGTATACTTAACATATACTAATTGTATTATTCAAAGTGCTATCATTTTGAGATTATGGCCCCTTTTTAAAAAGTGTTAAAATGCTCTGTCTTAGCACCCATTCTGAAACTGGGATATGATCACAAAGTAGTACTTTCTCCCGGTCTTTGTAAATCACCATTGTTAGTATTTTTGAATAGTGTTTCTATGTAAAGACACAGATGTTCAGGGAAGAGGTTTTTTTGTTTGTTTGTTTGTTTGTTTTTTTAAGATGGAGTCTCACTTTGTCATTTAGGCTGGAGTGTAGTGGCGTGATCTCAGCTCACTGCAACTCTACCTCCCTGGTTAAAGCGATTCTAGTGCCTAAGCCTCCTGAGTAGCTGGGATTACAGGTGCCCACCACCACACCTGCTAATTTTTGTATTTTTAGTAGAGGCAGGGTTTTGCCATGTTTGCCAGGCTGATATTAAACTGCTGACCTCAGGTGATCCGCCTGCCTCGGACTCCCAAAGTGCTGGGATTACAGGCTTGAGCCACTGCGCCCAGCCTTAATGTCATTCTATTTGATACTCTATATTTGATTTTGGAGCAGTGTTTCCAAATGGTGATCTTGTTCTCTAAGGCAGCTGTAACTGTTATACAGATGCAACTTGAAAGCACATACTAGTTAGTAGTAATTAATGGATGACCAGAATAAAACTGGGTAATCCAAGGGGTTGAAGAAGGACAATCAGTCTTACAGTTGGTTGCATAGCTAGAGGAAATCTAGAGAGAGAAACATTGTGGGGGCCCGGATGGAGGGTAAGGAGTATTAGTGAGGTTCTTCTACAGGCAGCATAAAGCACTCCTCCTTCCTCATAATAAATTGTCAGTGATGCCTGCAGCACTACTTCCCCCAAATAAAATAAAGATCTACATACAGTAGGTGCTGTGCTCATTGAATGTTTGAGTGCCATGTACCACATTAAATAAACATAGTATTTATTAATTTATGCAACCAGTATATCTTGGGCATTTCTAATGTTCCCTCTGGTTGTTACTACTATTGTTTTAATTGGTAAAGTAAACCTGCCCTATGTACAGAACTATAAAGATTAAACACTTGAGTAAAATATAGTGTTTTATTAAGGTAAAGCTTATAGCAAAGCTAACTGCAATTTGATGTTTGTTACTGTACCAAGGAGTAATTAGCCATAAACAATAATTAGTATTACTTTAATATAATCACAAGAAGCATTTCCTTATTGAAATAGAGGAAGGAGAGAGAGGAGCAGGTATGATACGGACAATTTTGAGATCTTTCTGATTGCCTAAATTCGTAACTCAGGAGAATATCAGATCTCTCTCATTTTTCCAGCACTGAAGCTTCAGTGTTTCAGGACCCATAACTGACAATATTATCTGCATTCAGATGTTGGAAATTAGAATAAACCTTTGGCACACCCTCTTCCTTCTGTTTCTTCCTGTCGTTAGAATTCAAATTCAGCCATAGCTGAATCAGACCTTAGGAAGCAAATAGAATCAGGAAAGCCCAATAGGGATCAGTATTTTCTTATTAACTAATTTGTTGCCTATTCCAAGACTAGGATATATTAGGGAATCAGTTGCTTTGTATGTTTAAAGGTGAGTTTCCCCCTAACTCTATCCCACGTACCCAATCTCAATTTTTTACCTTATTTATATGAAATTTTATCAATTGAAATTATTTTAGAAAACATTGTCCTCCTCAGAGTATAGGGTAGGATGGGGGTGGTAAAGGGTAGCTTATCCATTTAGTATAAGCTAATGTGAACATTCTATTCCTCTACCACTTGGCTGCATTATCTGACAGAATGGTAGCTTTGTGGGGAGGTAAGTACAAGTGGCAGCATGTTAGCTAGGCCAGAAGATGTGGTGATTTTGTAACTCTAGGGAACTGTTTAATTGAGAGTTGAAATAGGATATTTGGGACAGCCAGGCAGCCAGTGAGCAATATGTTGACTTAGACTGAATATTTTGGGGTGGAGGGGTACAAGTATCTGGACATGAAGAAAGCAGGTGATTAGATAGAAGTGTTCCAGAAAGCAAGTAAAGAAAAGAACAGGCTGGACATGGTGGCTCACACTTGTAATCCCAGTACTTTAGGAGGCCAAGGCAAGCAGATCATGAGGTCAGGAGTTTGAGACCAGCCTGTCCAATATGGTGAAACCCCGTTTCTACTAAAAAATACAAAAATTAGCCAGATGTGGTGGCACATGCCTGTCGTCCCAACTACTTGGGAGGCCGAGGCAGGAGAATTGCTTGAATCTGGGAGGCAGAGGTTGCAGTGAGCTGAAATTGTGCCACTGCACTCCAGCCTGGTCAACAAAATGAGACTCTGTCTAAAAAAGAAAAGAAAAGAACAGTAAAAGGAAGATTGAGATATAAAAAATTAGAAAATATTTTTTGAAAAAGTATGACAGAATAGGAGAGTTATAGAATAGGAATTGATGAAAACATGGAATTGAAAATGAGTTGAAGACAGGGCAACAAAAGCAAGTGTTCTAGAATCCTAGCTCATCAAAGGTTTATATTTATTTCATTTGAAAGCAGTAGGCTACTTATTTATAAAATCTATTATAATTCATTATTTATGATAATTCGTAGATTCCATATTTGTAACAATGATTTTTAAACCTATTTTCCTGTTATAAAATAACGATAGACATAAATATGGTCAGCTCATCTATTTATCTGCCTGTGTCCTAGGCATTTTCTTCTGGCTTGCCTTATCCTCACACACATCTGAAGTGAATATAGTATTTTTACTACCTGAGATTGATTAAGTATAGGCATACATTGTCTTATTGAGCTTCACTTTATTGCATTTCACAGATAGTGCTTTTTTTTTTAACAAATAAATAAAAGTTTTGTGTCAACTCTGTGTTGGTCAAGTCTTTTGGTGCCATTCTTCCAACAGCCTATGCTTACTTTGTGTCTCTGTGCCACATTTGGTAATTCTTGCAGTATTTGGAGCTTTTTCATTGTTATTACATCCATTATGATGATCTATGATCAGTAATTTTTTGATGTTACTGTTGTGATCGTTTTGGAAGTTTGTATTGAACTTAATTGATCAATGTGTGTGTTCCAACTTGCTGACCAATCAGCCAGTCCCCATCTCTCTCCCTCTCCTTGGATCTCCCTGTTCCCTGAGACACAGCAGTATTGAAATTAGGCCATTTAATAACCCTACAGTGGCCTCTAAGTGTTCAAGTGAAAGGCAGAGTCACACATACTCTCACTTTAAATCAAAAGCTAGAATGATTAAGCTTAGTGAGGAAAGTATGTCAGAAGCTGAGATAGACCAAAAGCTAGGCCCTTTGTGCTAAACGGTTAGCCAAGTTGTGAACGCAAAGAAAAGTTGTCAAAGGAAATGAAAAGTGCTACTTCAGTGAACACACAAATAAGGAAGTAAATAGAGATCAAAACAGCCACAACATTTTCTGAAGGCAAAGCCTAATCCAGAGCAAGGTCCTAATGTTACTCAATTCTGTGAAGGCTGAGAGAGGTTGAGGAAGCAACAGAGGAAAAGCTAGCAGAGGTTGGTTCAGGAGGCTTAAGGAAGGAAGCCATCTCCATACCATACAAGTGCAAGGTGAAGCAGCAAGTGCTGATGTAGAAGCTGCATTTTATCCAGAAGACCACTAGCCAAGATCATTGATGAACATAACTACACTAACCAACAGATTTTTCAGTGGAGACAGAACAGCCTTCTATTGGAAGGAGATGCCATCTAGAATCTTCCTAGAGAGGAAAAGTCAGTGGCCTGACTTCAAAGCTTCAAAGAATAGGTTGAC